AGTAACAATTTTCTCCTATTGTCCTCATTTTCATCATCCGATAAACTAGATATTGTTGCGTGAATCAGCAGGTGGTACATTGTACATGATTTGTAGAGAGGCACAGGAACGGGGCAGCTAGCCAGTTTTCTTTATGGTACTGTACTGCCAGGACGGTAGCCAATGTGCGGGTTTCTGCATTGGGAGGATCAAGGGTTAGAGCTACCTGTAGGGTTATCAATGAGAACTCCTCTCCAAGGATCCCTCCCTCCGTCCCTTCCGCGGCATCCCTCAACTCCCTCAAGCCGCAGCAAAGCCGTGGTATCTCTCTCTTTTTTGGCAATCATCATATTTTGGACTTCCCCCACAAGATCACAATACAATTTTTGTACGACACCACCTCCTCAGTGATGGTGACAGTCTTTTCTTTCAAACCGACTCTGGTATGCTTGTGTCTTTTGATAGATGTCATCACGTTGTAGTTGTGTCTGTGAATAGAGCAGGATGGAAACCAAAGAGCAATGCTCGTGCAAGTCCACCATATGCAGGCGAATTCCACTCGAAAGGACGAGCTGGTCAGTATTGCTGCTCTTGGGGCATGAGTGCAACAAGCTCTTGTAGAACTGTTCATCACAGAGAGTTTGCTCAAAGACATTGCTGGCATAGCAATAGTCTTGGCTCACGCAGGCAGAAGTAAACGTGTCCCAGGTGCTCTCTCCGGGGAACCACTGATCCAAAGAGTCGCGACAAGAGTCTCTTGTGAACTGGTGGCCTTGGAAGAAACACTCGGTAGGAAAGTCAACATGAGTGCAGCCGGTGAAGGAACATGTTCCATCATCCTTCAAGGTCAACCAATCATCTGCAAAAGTGGGAATCGTATCCTGATTGTTACCATCCTTAGCTCCAGCAAACAACCAAGGCATCCAGGATTTCGTTTGAGGCACTTCCTCCGAAAGCGACAGTAAGCGGTGTTTGTCGTCCTTGTACTTATCATCATAGTATTTATCATCACCATAGTATTTGTCGTCATGGGGCTCTTCCTTTTCGGGGCAATATCCGAAGATGCAGAGGATGGCCTCGACATATCCAAACACAGCGTCCAGAATCTTCCAAAAGTTGCCTCCGTCTCCGTCATAAGCGTCGTCGTCGTCAAAGAAGTCGTCATCGTCATAATGATCGTCCACGTATCTGTCATCATAAGCCGGCTCTTCGTAGCCATCGTTCTTTCCGCCTCCTCCTTTGCCTCCTTCCTCTTGGACAGTGGCGCTGTCTTCTGTTACCGTGGCTTGCGTGGGTTCGGGCTCTTCGTAATCCCAGTTGATAGTAAGACCACCACCGTCGCCATCGCCATCGCCGTCGCCAGCGGCATCGGCATTGCCAGGGTCTTCGTTTTTGCCAGGGTCTTCGTTTTTGCCCTCTAGACCTCGCTTAGATGAGGATGCTCCCTTGACTCCTTTCATGCGTCTGCTTTTGGTTTTCTTGAACGCCGGTTCGTCCACTTCCAACAGCCTTCGACGTTTATCCTTGTCATTGTAGTCGTCGTAGGGATGGTCGTCGTTGGTTTGGTCGTCATGATCCCCTGGGTTGTACTCGGTACATTCCAGGTTTCGAATAATGCAGTACATTTCAAAGACGAACTTCTTGGTGGCATCCAGGAATTGTCTGCAAGCGTCATCTCCACTACCCTGATACTTGTCGTCATCATAGTAATCTTTGGAAGTGGATTCGGAGTAGTAATCATCGTAGTCCTTGCCTCGAGCAATCTCGCTGGGAGACGGTGCTGGGGATACCGATGGAGCTGCGGATACCGAAGGAGCTTCAGTTGTGGGAGCAACGGTCACCTCTTGCAATCTGCGACGAATCATGGTGGTGATTTCCTCATTGTCACTTTCTTCTTCTCCACAGGCGGGAAGCACGGATTCAATGGCCACATTGGCATTCGACGCATCGTACGTGTCCGCAGGAAAGACCTGCGAAAAGGTGGCTGCCGTAGTACCGTAAACGCCATCGCCACGATCTTCCACAATCTCACGAAAGAGAACACTGCAGTCGTCTCGACAAAGATCTTCCTGGTTTACCTGCACTAGAATTTCGCCAACGTGCAGTCGGCTACCGAATGCTACCGTTACGGTCTTGTCGGAACACGAGAGCACTGGGGCCCCAATAACGCTGGTAGCCAAGCTGGATAACAGCAACGCAACGAACTTCATGGTTCGTTCTCCTTGTCTTCCACCAAAAACAGATCGTCTAATCATACCAATCCTGATGGGAGATAATAGCCACACAGACTTGAGACCAGAGGTGCACTGAAGAGCAACAATGAATGACACCCGATCCGTTAGAGTTTGTGGTGCGCTTCCAGTCTTCCCACCATCTCGGTGACTACCAAGCCATTTCTCTAAACACCAAACGAGGTTGCCGTTGATTACATATACTTAAGTTCTCAAACGCACCCAGCTCCTAAATGAAACGGGTACTATCAAAAAGCTGTACAAAGGAAGTTGCAGTCTCACAAGCTGTCTCACATTATCGAATACGGCATCAGAGGGATGCGCACCTCAAAGCTTTCTCCGTGCTTCCACGCCCCACAACATAAACGGTGGTAGCCACGGGAGATAATGGGTGGCACATACATGATGGCATCTGTTTTGTCAGCATGAAATCTGTTTTACTGGTAGCAACTAAAAACCTCAACATCTGTGTTATTGAACGGATTCAGATAAGAAGTGCTTGGTGACGACCCACCAGCAGTCCAGGCCCAGGTGTTTCCCACATTCAAGTCTGGCTGTTGTACGGGTAGCTACCAGTATTGATGCCAGGCACCTACCGGACTGGTGGCCCGTATCGCTCGCGCCTTTTTTGTGGCGTGCGGGTCCATGCATGGTGCGATTCTTCTTTCAATAAGAGCCCGCAATGTTAGTGAAGTGTTTGCTGCGGGTACGGTATCTGGCTGAATCGAATCATGCCATGCGTTCTAATATTTTAAAATATGTAAGTTGCACAGTACACCTGCGGCTACATGATATTTGGTGCAAACAATAGCAATGCTGATTTGACAAGATACCGGTGGGCTCCTCGTCCGTTTCGGTCAACCAAGCATTGTCCCCCTGGGGACCAGTCTAGCTAGCAGCAGGGGTTATGGCAGGACTGAGACATGCAGAGAATGTTTTGGCGGTCTTCTTCATTAGTCTGCAGTCTAAACTGCCAGAATGAATCAAGAGTTATTCACGTAGCATGCTTCTAGTGACGACCTTGGATCCTTGACATCCCCGATTGCATCTCGGAAAGCCCGCCTATATGTACAGCTGCTTTTTGGACACATTTTACAACGGCGCATCGCATCGTTCCCGTATTGAAGATTTGATCCAGGATATTGTTGGCTTTCAAAGGCTCTGGTTAAAACTGGATGGTTGACTCTCTTAGTTTCTTATACTTCCGTTAGAGCAGCTACCCCGGGGAGTTCCTTGCCTTCCAAGAGTTCCAGACTGGCACCTCCTCCTGTGCTAATGTGAGAGACCTTGTCCCCATATCCTGCTTGGTTCACAGCCGCCACAGCGTCTCCGCCTCCCACAATTGTTGTAGCTCCTCGTTCCGTGGCCTTGGCCATGGCCTCTGCGACGGCAAATGTTCCATCGGCAAAATTGGACATTTCAAAGACACCCATGGGACCATTGAATATAATCGTGTTGGCCTCGCTAATTTCCTTTTGGAATGTTTCAATGGACTTTGGTCCAATATCCAGGCCCATCCAGTCACCCGAAATTTCGGTCACGGGGGCAATGGCCGTGTTGGCATCATTGTCGAATTTATCGGCCAATACAACGTCCTCTGGCAAGATGAGCTTGACTCCGCTGGCAGCGGCCTTTTCCATGAGTTCCTTGGCCAACTCGACCATGTCATCTTCCACCAAACTGGCCCCAATATCCAATCCTTGTGCTTTGTAGAATGTAAAGATCATACCACCACCCAGCAGAATGACATCGCATTTTTCTAGCAAAGATTCAATGACGGGAATTTTGGTACTGACTTTGGCACCTCCAACAATGGCCATCATGGGACGCTTGGGTTCTTCTACGGCTCCAATCAAGTATTTCAATTCCTTTTCCATGAGATATCCAGCGGCACTGTATTCCACGTGTTCCGTGACACCAGCAGTACTGGAGTGAGCTCGATGGGCTGTTCCAAAGGCATCCATGACAAAGTAATTGGCCAATTTTCCGAGTCCGGCACTGAGTTCTGGATCATTTTTGGTTTCTCCCTCGTGGAAGCGGGTGTTATCGAGTAGCAATACTTGTCCCTTGGTCAAATGGGAGGCAGCATCTTCAACGTCGGGACCCACGCAATCATCCACTTTGGTGACGGGGACACCCAATAGTTCTTCCAAGGGTTTGACCACGGGAGTCAAACGACCATTTTTGCCCGTTTCAATGACTTGTCCCTTTGGACGTCCAAAATGACTGCACAAAATCACATTGGCGCCCTTGTCCAACAAAAATTTCGTAGTGGGGACAATGGCTTTCAGCCGAGTATCATCCGTCACTTTCATTGCATCCTCCTATCTCAGCCATGATGTTCAGTCCAAGAAACAAACGTCCAAAAAATGGTTGAGAATACACTCTTAATAAAAGCAAGAAAACCCTCCAAACCTTCCTTTTTAAAACAATGGCTCCATCTCTGAATCAATCAATCTGATGAATAACCCACCTTGTCCAGCGGCACATTCAAGTCCACACGAACCAACACGTTTTGTCCCTCCAGATTCACTTTCTCTGCCAATCCTTCGACATTGAGTTTGGCTTCTGCTTGAGGACTGGCATGGAAAAGACGGGCGTAAACACTGCTGCGGCTTTTCCGTGATACTGACGACAGGAATCGGCTGGTAGTACTGGAGGCAAACATCATCTTGGTTGGTATCTTTTTTTAAAGCTAGTAGTAGGCTGCGACCGATGAGCAGAAGAGCAACGAATGCTGCGGCGTTCTGAATATCTTGCCGTTTCCTTCCTTGTTCGTCCCAACCGGAATGACGTGAGAGTGACGGATCAGTGACGTGTTGGATGCAAGTTTAATTTTTAAGCCAGAAGCGCTGTATTACGTTCTCGCTGGTGATGCAAGTTCAGCCCCGAACGGCACAGTCGCACATGTACTTGTACTGGTAGTACCGGTAAATGAACAGCAAGAGCTCTAAACTGACTGCAGGCGACTGGATCGAATTTCTCGTCTCGACTCGACTCGACTCGACTCGTCACTCCAATCCATCTCCATCCAAGAGACCGGCCCAAATGGCATTGCCGATTGCCGAGGGTGACTATTACAGTAATACACTTTAGTTGCCACCATGACAACTCCTACATCTCAAGATGAGTCCCTGATCAGGGCTCTGGAAAACGAGCAGCAGTATCGATAGTGTCCCAAGACAAGATGTTCCCACAGAGGTTTCCCACGGGCTTCGGCAGCCCGGCGAAGATGCGGAGACTTGTGTTTCTTCAGTAACGGATGTGCTGCAGAATGCCGATCTGTTTGTAGATCACATGTACAGTACCCAACTCTGAATGCGGTTGTGGAAGAAGAGGATCCACATTCCAATTTGGCGCTCAAGTCATTAAACAACAACGACAACCTGGCTCCTACCATATCGACTACTACGACTACTACGACTGGGGAGACACAACGGCAACTGACCTCTCGTAAACAAAACCAGCAGCACGAGTCATCCGGCGACATATCGCTACACCAATCAGAGGTCAAGGAAGAGTTACAAAGCAACGAGGCAGCTGTGCTCAAGGCTGCCAAGATGGATAAGGGTGACCAGGCTTCTCCAGCTGCCACAATTGTTGCTGGCATCGGCAGTAGAAAGTCGCTGGCCGCACCAGCAGACAAATCTGACCAGCAGCAGGACAATCAGAAGGACCTTCCTTCCAAACAAAGCAAACCAGAATCTACTATGCAATTCAAAGAAACCACTACCAGTGACATTGATCCGACAATTGCTGCCATTGATCTCACCGAACCAAATTTATCGGAAGACAGATACCCCATAGGTGCCAAAAATATGGAAGGATCATTCCGAGAGGCTGCACAAGCTGAAATTCAGCCACTCCCACAACAGACAGCCCTTAACCGTCAACGGCCAGTATCAATACCAGGAGCCTACAGCCTTGGTGGCCGTCCTAATGCCGCTGACAATGCTGATGACACCGATATTGTCCCAGTTCCTCCGTTTGCTGCCACAATATCTGCTCCAGCGAGCAATGTTGAAGACCTTGATGACGATCATTTGGTCCGTGCCAATCCAGTACAAGAAGACCCAGAGGCACCCACAGATTTGATGCACGCCAACCCCATGAATCTGGAGGAACGGGAACGGCAACAGAAAAAACGCAAGAAGCAAAATCAAACTTTTGTTTTTATTCTGATCCTAGTTATTCTGGCTGGAGCGGCCATTGTGGGCACGGTTGCTGGTACACAAAAGCAGCCAGACGAAACCATTGGTGCTGCAACTCCTACACCCACTGCTTTTCTTTCCATGGAACCATCAGACGTGCCATCCTCTGCCCCAACTGGAGCTCTTGACATGCTGTTGGATAGTCTTCCTGACTACACCTTGGCAAGCATGAACAACGGCAGTGACACCCCTCAGTGGAAAGCATGGCAATGGCTGGCCAACCATCAAAATATCACATTTCTCCCAGAATGGAGAAAGACACAGCTGTTTGCTATGGCAACGTTCTTCTATGCATTTGAGGGAGAAAATTGGAATCCTCTAATACAAGAGCGATTGATGGATGACTCAGTGGAAGAGTGTGACTGGTACTCTGGTGGATTTGGATTGTTTATTAACGGGCAGTTTATGCCATTTGAAGATTTGGGTCTTCCGTCTATTGACCCTGCAATGATCATGGAAAGTTGACGAGCCTTGATTTGTGGAATCTCGAACTCACTGGATTTTCACCAACCATACCCCCAGAGATCACTCTGCTCACTTTCTTGTCCAGATTTGTCCTAAGAGTCAATGGCAACTTGGATTCATCATTGAATGACTTCCTGATTCCTCAGATGGCACAACTGAGATTTCTGGCATATGTGGATTTAAGTCTAAATGGCTTGGTGGGTACCCTGCCAACTGAGTTTGGTTTGATTAAGTCCAAGTTGACCGAATTTTCAGCTTCAGCAAATGCACTGGGACCATCCCAAGTGAGCTGGGGCAGCTTACCCTCTTGAAAAAGTTGGATCTATAAGGCAACTCACTTGTGGGCACACTGCCCAGCGAAGTTTGGTTGCTTACCTCTCTTGAGACTTTGGCTGCAGGGTATCATGCACTCGGGTCTAATAATGCAGTTGGAAACTATTTGACAGGCCAGTTGCCAAGTGAGATTGGAACACTGACTTCACTGGTACATCTGACCCATGAAATAACGAGTTTCGGTAAATGCTGTACTCGAGGTCATGACCATCACAAACATCGCCAGTGAAAGTGGCAGCATGGGTGGAATAGATCGATGCCAGGTGGATGCCACAACACTACATGGTACAGTCCAGCCGGACCAAACGAATACTTGCTTGGAGGCGTTGACTAAGGTCAAACAAGGCTCTGGAGGACGAGTATTAATAGTGCGGTAGCATGGACGGAGCTGATATCGATAGATGGCAAGCGAGGGCTAATGAGCAGCAATGTCACCGCGGCGCCCTATAGTTGCTTGATGTTGATGGTCTTTCCATGCATGGTCGGAAGATGAATCAATTGTTCGGGCAACTGAACTGTACTGCTTGAACAGCAGTCATGCAGGACACGGGGGACCGCGAATACCATGAAGACAAGGATAGAGCTGATATGCCAACCAGAGGCGATGTGTAATTGCTCGGATAAGGTCCATCAAACATCAGCTTTGTACCGGTACTAGTGGCCGCAAAACCAAAAACTAACGCTTCCCATCATTCTAGTTGATGAGGGAGTTACTATGGATTAGAGAGAGCTAAGATGAGGATGGGGACAGAGCTCGAGGGGAGGGCACGATGCATGAACGCAAGGCAAGCAATCAAGTGCGCAAGCAGGGCAACATGGAAACCAAGGAAAGGGGTGAAGGCAGGAGGGCAGGGAGGAGCAAAGGAGCAAGACTAGCGGAAGAGATCGAGGGCACCACAGTCATCCCAACGCTTGGAAACCTTGAGAGCTGGGACACGGGAGCCTCTAAGACACAGAGTCGCGGCACGGGCAAGAGCGATGCTCAACCTGGCCGAGATGAAAGAGCGAACCACGGAGTAGGGCTTGGACAACTTGTGAGCAAACCAAAAACTAACGCTTCCCATCATTCTTGCTATTTACTACCGTCCAAAGGATCCTCGAATCTTCGATTGCAAGATTCGGCGAAACCTGCAACAGAACCGAATCGAATCAGGAGCCCAGAGGACTCCAGTGGAGCGGCCTTGGAGTTTCCAATAGCTGCTGCGACCGTGGTGGGTGGCTCACTCCCATGGGAAAAATGGGAAAGGCTCTATTCATTGCTCATACCGGTAGCGCACTCATAGCGTAGCAAAAACGAGACCAAAGATGACGGCATCAACCGAGACGACGATGACCTCCACTGATGTAATGAGCAGCGAACGCCTTGTACTTCGATCGGCCGATCCCAGCGATTTTGAGCCCCTCTATCAAGTCGTCTTTTCGGATGAACAAGTCATGAAACAAGCATTCTACGATCGACCCATGAGCAGAGAACAAGCGAGCGAGTTTTTTCGAGATGAGTTTGACTTTTGCGGATCCGGAAAGCGACTGGGAGTGCTGTGTTTGAAAGATGGCACCATCATTGGCTTTTCAGGTTTGCTGGCATGTACCGTGTTGGGTGAACCTGATGACTTTGAGATCGGCTTTGTGTTGGGACGCTCCTTTTGGGGCAAGGGCTATGCGACGGAGATCGGCAAGGCCCAAGTCCGTTTTGGATTCGAGCAAGCGGGATGCTCTCGATTGCTCGGAGTGGTCCGAGAAGACAATGCCGCCTCAAAACGAGCACTTTCAAAGTCCGGATTGTCCTTCCATTCCACTGTCGAGACCACGGATCGAGGAGTCAGAGAAGTCTATTGTGTCCTGAAGACAGAATGGGCTTTTTCTAATAGGAGATAGCTAGCTAGACAATCCTAAAGTATGTGAAAGCAAGTAACTAAGAACATAGACCAACTGTACATTTCGTTAGGCTCTTCATTCTCGGTATGAAGCAATTGAGAGGCATTCCTGCCGACAGCAACATTCGCATAATGAGCGATTGGGGCATAAACTTCAGGGAACAAGACCTGCTTAGGAAGCGCCCACGAGACAACTTTTCCTCACCTTTGTGATCTCATTTCAGGCCAACAGAACATGTGGACCACCACCAAAGACGGCTTTTGGCTCGGCTAGCTACTACTCCAGTAGTAGTCACGTTCCGAACAGACTACAACTTACGGAATTACCAAGCTTCAGCTCAAGTGGCAGTACACCAAGTACCTAGCTAGACAAGAGTTTTAGGAGTTCAGATTTCCTATTTTGTGTTGTTTTACTATCTTCGAAACAGCCTGCATTTAACTAGACGATGTTTCGCTTTTATTGCATGGCAAAAGAATCTGCACAAGACAGATCCACCAGTTTTTTTTTAATTGTTGATCCAATCGGCCATCTTGGTTGAGGTGGTGCTTCTAGATGTCAATGTTGCTACTGAGCTCCCCACCAACCAATCCAGCCTACGCCAGTTGACACCAATAGAATTGCCTTTTTAGAAAGCTCCAGCAGCAGCATGGTCCAAGATACCAGATGCCATGACATCAAAGCCACAGAGGTCTTTCTCGTCATCAGCCGAGTGCTTGCAGACCTTTTCAGCAGTAGCCTTGACTCTCCAAGACGATGGGCATCACTCTTCGGGCCGGGCATGACACACTTCTGGGGGGACTGGGTTTCACAGTTGACAGAGAAAAGCTTGGCATCAGTGTGCTAGATTTGAACATACACTCCTGCTGGCTTCTTTTGATTCATACGCCCCCTGGGTCGTCTCCGTTTCCATAAATCTTTTATTACCAACACCTAACTCGCTTTATTGAAACAGTATTCGCGCGCTCCGCGCGTTCATCCCTTTCAGCTTCGCCCCGAAACGGCTCACGATTTAACATCATATACCCTATGTTAAACGTGTATTTCATTTTTGTTATACTTTTTGTGAGATGCATAAATAGTTTGGTCCAATTTAGAACAAGTATGACTGCACTTTGAAGTAGATTTGTACAATAATATATATAGTAAATTTATCTAAGGGGTACAACCACGTGCTTATGCAGGATTCAAATGCTTTACTTTATGTCTTTTGGTTGACCAGTAAGAATAGGACATTCGAAATCCTGCACAGGCATTAGTAAAGGTGCCCTGAAAGATATATGCTCGAATAGTGAATCATGTATTGACTCAGAAAGTATAGCAAAAGTGTACTTTTCAATGATTCGTTGAACGAAATAATGAACCGGAAGAAGAGGAGTGGCTTTCATGTTTATCAGTCGGTGGCCATCCCTCGTTGGTCCTCTCTTAACCAATTTGTGGGATTGAATTAACAAACGCCGCATCCACAGCTGCAACAACAATTTTCCACATTCTGAGACAATTCCTATGGCTATTTGTTGCACGAGAAGATGGAAAACTGAACTTGTTGCTAGTCTACTGGCTGTTGTCTATCGGAAGGTTAAAAGAGGGTAAACAGTCACTCGGCGACTGACTCTCCGACGCACGAAACCAACCTCAATCGAAGCAGTCAGTCAGTTCGGTCCATAAATTCAACCAACGAAAACAGCGAAAGCTATGCTCTTTTACTCCTCCTCGACAATGGCCGAAGCCGGAGCGATCATGGCGCCTCTACCACTAATGCAACCGTCGGCTCGGTGGCACTGGGTAGCGTAGCAGCAAGCCGCTTGCTTCTTTGTTCTTTGTTGTTGTTCGTCATGGTTGATCCATCCATCGTAGCAAATGAGTTTTTGTTTCTTTGTCGTGGAATTCAGTGTATTGGACTTAGAGGCCCGATTAAAGACTTAGACGCCCAAAATGTGGTAAACTTCGTAAAATGGCGCAAACCATCATTTCGGCATGCTCTTGGCTAAAGAGAGTAAACACATGAGCCGACATGCTGGATATCGGCTATCTAACACTCTAGAGGATGTGTCGTCGGAAGGTGTGTGGAAGACGATCCGAGCGTTGATAGGTTCTACATGGCTGGATAAAGTGGCGATATTACAGTTACTAAATTCACCCGTTCAACGAGGGTCCGTTTTCTCAAAGAGGATAATTGCTGGTACCACTCCCTTTCTCATACTTCATCCATGTGAAACTTGTGGGAAAAAGTGAGGCGAGTATCATGTGCATGTACATGCGTTGACTGTATCCCGTCAATACAATACTAGTCAAATACGTAGACTTCTACAGGGGCCTCTAAGTAATGCGCGCGGGGTATAATTCAAACCTCTGCCCCCATTAGTACCCTTACCCCTAAAAGCAAATCGTCTCCGGGAGACGAAATTCATCTTTCCTGACAAACCCAACACAGGCAATTCGGTTTTTTTTCAGCGTTCGTCTCCAGATTCGTTGGCTTATGACAGGTTGCCGTGTTTCTGTAATAGTGACGGCACCGTTACCGGCACCGTTACCGGTACCGTAACGGGTACTGTAACCGTAACGAGTATTGTATCAGTGTTGGAAGAGAATGTTTATCGGATGAGGCTACAAGGAGGACGACGAATTCGTGAGTTTGTACGTAGCAAGTGGACGACAAGTTTGTGTTGTAATT